TAGTCCGGATGTTGATTTTTTTTTTCTTATTATAAGCCATTGCTTGACCACAATCCCCCTTGGTGGTAAGTGGTGATGCAGCCTTAGATGGTAAATCGCACTATCTTATCGTAACAAAAGCCTATTCAGTCTTGCCTTGAAGACGCCCAGATTGTATTCGGACGGAAAATTAGACGCCGGCAAATTATTCCACTCCTTTGCTGTACGCATTACAAAAGACGTTTGTATGTGGTCACGATAACTCCCGAAAAAATGGACATATCGAGACCGGGATTTTTATTAGCTTTAGAATTACATCAACAGGTTCCCTATTTTATATCGATAGTATAGTACACATACTTTTTTAATAAAATTATTTTCAAGTTTTATAAGTTTTATTGCTATTAAAATTTTAGAGGCGCTTTTATATTTTTAGCCTTTGATAGACAAAGGACAAATGTATCATACAGCCTATATCGATGTTATACTTTGTGTAATCGACTTATTTTGGTAAACACTATCATTTTTTTCCCTGTAGGTGACACTACCTGTTAAAATAATAGAGCACTAAATTTAAAATACGTAAATAATATATTTTAAAATTCAGGAATACAATTAATTTTTTCATCAAAATTAAATGGAGCGTTCATGAGGCGTGCACTTTTGGATTTGCCAAAATATTTTCTTTTGTATCAGTCCGTAAATATCTATGGCGTTAGTTGTGATGGTGATGTAAGAGAATCTATCACCCCATTTATTCAATATGTGTCATAAGATGCGACTGTGGGAAATTAAAAAATATGAATTTAAATAGAATGCAGATTAAACGTCCCTTTACACCAAACTTTAAATACACAGACCGACAACGAGAATCAGTGTCAAATGTATGAGACATTTTTTTTTAACTTCAAGTCGGCCACATACATACGGAATTCAGTTTCGAGATTCCGTTTCGATATTCCGATTCGGGATTCCGAACGCAGCAAGTCCATATAAAATCTATGGTCCCGCCACACAAGTACGGTAATTTTCCTTCCCTTCCTTCCCGGCGAGTAGCCCTTTACATTGCTTCTGGGCAAAAAGTTTCGAGTACTTTACAGTACAGGAGTGTACAAGCTTGATTGTGAATGTGGTCTCTCTTATATAGGACAAACTAAAAGATCAATAAATACCCGCGTTGAAGAACATATAGCTGATGTGAAAAATCGACGCCCCTGGAAGTCCGCAGTCTGTGAACACGTACAGGATTGCCCCCGTCACTACATTTATTCGTCACACATTAGATTTGATAGACGACAAATCCTCGCTAAAGAACACCGATTCTTTCCAAAGATGATTCGCGAGGCTATTGAAATCAAAAAACATCCTAATTTCTGCTGGCTGGGTGCTATCATCTGCTTGGGATCCAATAATTAATAAAATTAAATCCCAACCTAAGCACACAACTGCAAGACTTCAAGATAATATAAGTTCATACTCCGTAGATCGTACCAAAAATTAATAATTTTTAATCTGGAGGTAGCCGTGGTTAACTACGAAATTGGGACGTCAAACACCTCAGTCCACCCCGTGACCATGGGTGCTGTAAAGTACTCGAAACGTCGAGAATATAAAATAAGTTAATATACACGATAAAATCCGTAAAACTAGTTTTATTTAAACCAGCGGGTACTTTTTTTTATTAAGTACAATTTACAAAATAATTTTTGTACAATTGTTATAAATACATCTAGATACAGCATGGTAGCGATCACCACATTCGCAGGGGTATCATCAATCATGTATTCTTTAGTAGTATAATAACTCTTACCAAATAATTTTCGCTTAACAAATATTTTAAAACATTTGCTAGATAAGGTCTGTATGTTTTCTGGAGATTATCTATCATACTAATAAAATAATTCGTTAATTTTATAAAGAATCTCGCAGATTGTCCAAAATGCAATGGACGTATGTAAGTGTACATAATAAGTAACTCTGGATGCTCCGCTAGCTCAGTAGTAGTACTAAAAATATCAACATAATTTCCGTACTTAATAACAGGAATATCTTGAGTAAATCGCAATCATTTCACGCTCTGTCACAAAAACTAGACAGCCTAGTTACTCAACATCCCATCTACTAATAAAATTTCTCGGTAACAAGTTGATAACTTGAATACCGAGAAATTTTAAGAGCAATTTTCCGTTGTATAAAGATAATTTATTGCCTTCACTATAATTATACGGTTATGCAGCTTCTGTGTTACAGTACCAACTTAGCAGTTTTTTTAGAAATATTAGTTAAACCATTTTAGGTTAAGAAATTGTTACGTACTGACCAGTGAGATACAGGACGTGTAAATTTCAAGTTAAACAAGCTCTGACTTTGTCGAACCGACCTATTCGTGCAGCTATAATATAGCTGCAGCGTGGCTCTACCACGTAAAAATATATGCCAGAAAAATCTTAGAGCTTCCTATTAGTATAACCTTCTCGCCCATGGCTGGTTTAAAATATACAACAATGTGCCTGGCAAACACAATTACAAATCGTCTATGACAGGAAAAGAACTCAACTTTTGAGGGTTGATAAAGAATAAAAAAAACATTTGTGCATCTCACAAGCGGTAGAAGTGAAACCTTCAAAACTAAACTTCGAGAGAATGTGACGAATGCAGAGTATCTTCTATCTCTTTCTCTCGCAGGTTTAATCCTATAGATATATATGTTTGTCTCTTTTTTGTGTCGCTTTTTCGTTTCATCGAGTTTCAAGTCACAACGAATATAAAGAATCTTTCACTTCAAAAGGAATTCAATACACTTTTATTTTATATCAATATCATAAAAATTTAAAAATTCATTTTTTCAAAAAAAAAACCTGCTTCGTGTACTCTTTTTCAACCTAAAATTCGACCTAGTTATGTCACCCTCTTACCTATTTATGTCGGCAAAAAGCAGTGCCCACACTGCTCTGTTCTGATCTGAAAAATATAGAGAGCCTACGAGCGAGAGGCTGTGAGACATTCCATCTTAGTCCTCAGAGGTGACAACGCATATGTAGCCTCTATGTTTGAAGTAGACTGCTGGTGTCCGTGGACTGCAGTTGCCACACGAGTTTTGGCGGGAACTTGACCCTCGACGGATTGCTGCTCCTGTATTATTGTTTAAATAATGGTTTGAAGTGGATTTAGATATATAAAAGTGATGCGATTTTGTGTGTTAAATGTCTGCGCATGTGAGCTATTAGTGGAAACGGTGAAACAAGTGCCCTGCTGCTGAAGTGGTTCTTAAGATAAGTTGTCTGTCTGCTTAGGCGCCTTGAGATACCATTGCCAACAGTCAGCTGTCTGCTGGTTCAAGTTGCCGTCAAAATCTTCCATATAGTGAAGCAGTGTACTATGAAGGATAATTATACATTGTAACTTCAGGCTCAGAAGGGCTAGAACCCAAAGCGGTAAAGCCAGTTATTAAAAAAATGCAGTTGTCACTTACCACCAGGTGTCAGTTTTATAAAAAAAAACATTTTCGGATGTTTAAATAATCTGAGTTGCAGTCATATTAAAAACTGACGACAAATACAATAATTATATGATTACGACCTAATATTACATACATTAATTTGTACTTATATTTGTTTGTAACATTGAAATATATACAATATTAAAAACTATCATAATAAAAGCTAAAACTGGAAACTTAAAGTATCCTACTCTCCGTAGCATCGTGCCAGGAAAGCTGGCTCAGTTTTCCCGCTGAATCGCTATAGCCTTGGCTTAACCTTTGAGCGAGAAATGAACCAGCACTCTTATCACCAGCAGTGATGGTCTGTCGCGGATACAGTTCCTTTATGAACTTCACACGTGGACTCCAGGGACCGATAGTCTCTACGACAAATGGCACAAATATGTAGTCATCTCTCAGGGACTCATATCTGCACAATTTACTTACTCAGTTACCTAATATTCCCACTAGAATATTTTTTTTTATTATTTCTATGTATTTGTGTATTAAAGGAGTAAAAACAATCAACATATTTCAACATAATTTATTGAAGTTATCACAAACTCACCCTCGTTTAAACTACAAACACAAAGCTTAATTAACTGTCCACAATGTATCTGTTACGCGAAATAAATAAAAGCTCCATTTAAAAAACACGCGAATACAGTCATTCTAATTACAAACAACCTTTAATATCATTCGTACACATTCTTAATTATTAATATAAAATAAATTAATAAATAAACATCACTTATAATGTACATGTATCGCCCATCATAGAAAAAAAAACTCCATGACCTTATCTGTTTTTTATCGTATATAAAAGAACGGCGACGATCGTATATATAGTTGTAAACCACCTCATATATGCCAAAATGGCGGACGAGAAGCAGCTACTAAGGTGCGAGATATTGCATACCTTAAGCGAAAGCGCAAGATATGTTCTACTATCGCCTAAATTTAGTATTATGATCGTCAATTCGCCTGCCAAAGGAAAATCCTTCCTACAATAGGATAAGTATATGCCCGCCAATTGACGATTTTATATTTGAGAAGATAGAACAGTACATAATTGCTTTTTATTGAGCTTTGAAGCTTCATGTTACAATAAAAATTGTAGAAAAAGAAATAAGTAAAAATGTCTTCAATTAACAAAAGATTAAAAATTTTAAACATCATTTAGTTTCAAGATTCTTTAAATTTATAGACTGACTTTTAACACTGTATAATTCAGTATCGAAAATACTACCAATTAAATATCGACATAGCCTAGATATTCTGGGATAATGCTTATATAGCCTTACCCTAGATTACAGTTAGCTATTTCGATAATTTACTGGTGGGCTAGGAATGTAGCCATTTCCCAGATTTTAGATCAATTATACACGTTAAGGCACACATGCAAACAAACATTTTCTAAAATACACTCCAAAATTTCAATTTGTCACAAAATATAATTTTCGGTTTTACTACTAAACGATTTTAAATTACATAAGTACTCAATTTCATTTTTTACATGTGTAACTTTTTATTTAAATTTTTATTCAGTCTCATTTTCATCGTTGTCAGGCTCCTTTGTCGAAACTTCAACTTCAACAGATGAATTAACTTCTACATTCTCTTCAACTGATGCTTCGGACCCCACTGATACTTCTGATACAGTTGTAACGGTTTCCGTCTCCTCTGTTGTTGTCATGCTATCTGGCAGATCCTCGCAGTGTTTCCCGCGGATACCGGGAGGGCAGTTGCACCTGAAATGTCCGTCACCGGCTTCCAACGACTGACATTTACCGCCGTTCTTACAGGTGCCGGGATTCTTCTCGCAGTAGTTCAGTTCTGTTAACAAAGGGTATTTTAAAAGAATACGTTAAAAAAGTTATATTGGTACACGCGTTAAGTTGAATTCCGTTGTGTCCAATTATATATTTGATAGAATAGGGGTAACAAACGAGCGCACAGTTCAACTTATGATAAATGGATGCTGTGACATAAATGTCTACATCTGTCTTCGATTAAAAATCAAAGTGCCGATGCGTTGTCAGCCCCGAGGAAAAAGATAGAATGTCGTTTCCATCAAAAGGGGTTCTCCGGTTCACTAAACTCACCATTCGAAACACAGCAGCAATAAGCTGCTTTTTACGCTGGTATTCTGTGAGAGCGTGACCTTTTCCCGGTCGAGCCGAACCATTAGTACTGCGGCTATAACATCGCTTTAGCGTGGATCTACCACGTAAAACACCACGTATTATATCTTATATTTTCTAAAAGTTTAAATGCTGCATTTAGTCCAGCTAAGATAAAACATGGTGCTCAGCGTACATTTCAAGCGATGCAGAACCCTAGCCAAAGCCATGCTCAAGTTGTTGTAAAAACACGCACTCACATTCACATACGCATTTAAAATCATTTAAAAGTATAACAACAATGTTTTGCATGCAAAAGTATGCGTCCAGCAGTGCACTTTTGCAGGCCGTTAAGCAAAGAAAGATGATAGATATGTGGTAGATTCCGTGTCAAGAATATGGGCATTATTTCGGCATAACTTGAAATGTAGTATGTTAGCGCTCCGTGTGTGTGTTTTTTTTTTGTTGATCTGTGATAAAATGTATTATGTAACAGCTATATTTGCATTTTTGCAGATTTTAATACTTCATCATGATCATCATTATAACCCATTACAAGTGCACTACTGATCATAGGCCTCACCCGAGGAACGCACGGTATTGAGCCACCTAAAGCCATTGACTCCCAGCATATCTTAGCCTAGACCATCACTCCATCTAGTGGGAAGCCACCCTACACTTAGCTTTTAAGTACGAGACTGCCACTCGAGAACGTTTCTCCCTCATCACATGTAGATTGGTACTGAAACGGTGGACTATGTTGGGTATTCCGGTTCTACTTTTTGATGATTAATATTTTAAAAAGTAAGCTTTCTTGAAAGAAATAATTTTTTATGTTTACGAGATCACTCCAAATTGAATGAAACTCATTTTATATCCTTTAATTAACTTATTTTCATATTTATATTCCCGACGTCTCGAGTGTTTTGCAGCATCTACGGGCAGGAAGGATCTATGTTGTTTACGGTACAAATGTCTTCTTTAATCCATTTCTACGCAGAATGAAGTTATAGCATCTTAAAACTTTGCAGTCGTATGTTTGGCTTGGGTTTTTACTATGTATTTTATAGGATCCTAAGCAGATGTTGACACCCAGCCATTCTCTCTCTTCTCTTCTCTGAAAACACGTTACCCCATCCGTAGGATTTTCTCCTATATGGTGGAGGCAATTTACAAACATATTTGTTTTATTATTTTTTATGTTATGGAAAACAAACAGCTTAAAAATCTTAAGTAAATAACACGTTAAATTTACAAGAAGCCAATAACCGGTTCTCACTAATAGAAAACTAAATAGCACAAGGGCAAACATCCCGACCCGGGACAATTATTTGTAGGCAATACAAAGACTTGTTCCGTGCGTCCCAGCGCTGCAATTCATTGCTAAGCTACTGCACCACGGAGCCATTTATTCTATTAAAGTTAGAGTAATTTATGGCTAAAAGCTCTCTTTGAGTAAATGCACCACTGATTACTCTTGCTTTTGCATAAAATTCTTCTGAATTTTAAAACAAAGAATTGAGGATCCATACCTTCATCGCACAGCATGCCACCCCAGCCTTGCTTGCAGATGCACTCCCAAGGTCGGTTGCATGTACCATGGACGCAGCCGGGGTATCGGTGGCATTGCGTGCAGTTTTTCCCAGTCCAGCCCACTTTGCAACGGCACTCGCCTGGACGCCGGCAGTAGCCACGCTCGCCGTGACAACCAGGAGCACAGATTGCTGAAAATTTAATAAAGTTATTTTTTCATTTATTTTGGCAACAAACAGTCATATTTCAAGTATATAGTTTACATTTTACATTTGCATATGACAAAAAGACAAATAGTGTAAGTAATTAACAAACCATATTATTAACATTATGAAACAACATAGGCGGTCAGTTGCATTTTACTGCAAAACCTGTTTTAAATTTATTTTAAGATTGGAACTAGCGCTAAAAAGATCTATTTTCAAAAAATATTTATTATAGGTATATGTTTTTTTTTTTATAAAAATAGGGTGACAAACGAGCACACAGTCCACCTGATGGTAAGTGGTTGCTGTAGCCCATAGACATCTACATGTATCCTCGTTTGCGAACCAAAATGCAGATGCGTTGTCAGCCTTGAGGTTTAAGATGTAATGACATTTTCTGCCACCAGGGCGGCGCCACTTAAAAGTGAGGTATAATATTTGACAGATTTCATAGCGGGGAAGCTAATTAGTTCGAAAAATGTAAAGGATAACGTTTCTTTCTGTACTATAAGCTAAATGTTATATTATTAAGTTTAAAAATAAATAAACCCAACCACAGATATTCACAAAAGTAGAAATTTAAAAAAAAGGTAAAAATGTGCAAGAAGTTAAAGAGCAAACTACTGAGGCATTGTTTTGTGTATTAATATAATACTCTAGAAACTGATAAACTTCTATTAAAAACTAACTCCTCAATTAAATGACATTGTGTAACAAAAAAACTTTACCTCAGTGTCAACTAGCGACATCTGGTGAGCAGAAAATTATTAGCCCTCATTTACATCAGGTCGACTGTGCACATGTTTGTTGACCTTATTTAAATCATATAGATGCCTCCCTCTCACCTATTTCTGCCACCAAATAGTAATGCTCACCCCGCTGTGTCCCGGTCTGAAGAACATAGACAGCCAATATAATTACAGGCAGCATTTATACGTTTTATACGTGGTAGTCATGCTGCAGATATACTAGTAGTATAGTTGTAGCACGAATGGGTCGGCTCGACCGGGGAAGGACCACGCTCTCACAGAATACCAGCGTAAAATAGCAGCTTAACACTGCCGTGTTTCGTATGGTGAGTTTAGAGAACCGGAGACCCTTTTTACTGGAAAAGGGGCATTTCATCTTAGTCCTCACGGGTGACAACGCATCTGCATTTTTATTCGCAAACGAAGATAGATGTAGTTGTCTATGGGCCGCAGCAACCACTTACCATCAGGTGGACTGTGTGCTCGTTTGTCACCCTATCATATAAAAAAAAATTCATTTTAGTCTTCAGAGGTGGCAACGCTTTCCCATTTTCTTTGAAGTTAGCTGCAGGTGTCTATGGACTGCAGCTACTGCTTACTTTTGCACTTACCATCAGGTAGAGTGTAAGTTCATTTGTCACTTCATAAGTTTGTAAATAATAATAAAAAAAATGCCAAATCTAATCAAAATTAAAAACAATTTTTTCTGCATATACGAGTATATGTAGATCCGACTGCAAATTAACATTGTTGCTGTTTTCGCTCATTTTGGTCTTTGTTAACTGTCATTAATTGATTAGATTAAATCAACAATAAAGGTTATTTTGTGTTAATTCCGCCCTAAATGTACCAGCCTTCACCAGGGCTATTAGTTCATAACAAAATAGATCATTTCGTAAAGTATCATCATCAAACTTACGGAATACGTAATCGATATAACCAAAGCGAATTCTAACCACGTATATTGTTATTACAATGATTCATAAATAAAATAAAAAGTAAAAGTAGAAATGGAAGTAGGTAGAAAGTGATGGACTTATTCGGCTCCGTTTGGTTTTGCGTGACTGGAAACATTAATGAATGTGCAATAAGTTATATAAATAACATAATTTAAAATTAAACATTTTCTACAGCCGACTTCAATATAAGTTACTAAGAATAACTCAAAAACTATTGGTCTGACCTTGATTAAATTCATATGGGACCACACGAGAAGTACCTACCAGTTTCAAATAAAAAAAGAATCATCGAAATCGGTTTACCCAGTAAAAAGTTATGAGGTAACACACATTAAAAAAAACATACAATCGAATTGAGTACCGTCTCCTTTTTGGAAGTTGGCAGAAAAGACGCATAAATAAAAAAATCCGTCGAATTATTGTATTTAACTTTTTTTTTTTTTACTTTTAAAACGTTTACTCACGATTAAGGTTTTTTCCTAGAGGCATTTTACATACATAAATTTGTACATGAACAAGCACCCTAACATAGAAAAATCATTCGTGGACTATTAGTATTAGTATTGTTATGTGTGGAATTAGAACCTGCGCCTTCTCATCGCAGCCAAAGACGCTAAGCCTTAAGGAGTGGTACATTAAGTTTGGACGATTATTTTAATGAATTGTTTAAAACTTAAACAATAAAAGATATTTTTGATGTGTAACATCTTTCCCCCGCTGTCCAGTAATCTATGAGAGTTATTTCGAGAAAAGGGACGGAAGTGTGTAACAGGAAGCCGGGTAAGCGCGCGCAATTTGATATGACCAATGAGAACACGCGGTGTTAGTAAAGTGTGCTGTTATATAAACTAATTTATATATGTGTAAACTACATTAATAAATATATTTACTGTTGATAATATGTGTCTGAAAATTTTAATTAATTTTTTTTAAAACGTTACCCCCACACTAGGATTTTCTCCTGTGTCGTGGAGGCAGTTTGCAAATATAAATTGCACAAGGACAAACATCCAGACCCGGAACAATTATTTGTAGGCCATACAAATACTTGTTCCGTGCGGGATTCGAACTCGCGGCCCCTAGCGCAACAACTGATTGCTAAGCCGCTGCGCCACGGAGCCGTCACACAAAAAAGTGCAGATCGTTGATAAACATGCAATTGAGTAATAATGAATAATTATTCGAATAAATATTTCAGTATTTAGAACTTTATAAATTTTGAGGTTAATTTCTGTCGCTGTTTAATTGATATTTTTAATTTTGATTTTTTCAGGATATAATGCTAATGTTGCTTATTTCCAAGGTGAGATGTTAAATGTTACACATCATATGCGACTACTGTAAGTCTGTAAGGCTCGTTCGTTAGAGGAAATGCCATACACGTTCTAGATTTAATACTGGATTTAAGGTGGCACAAGTCGCGGGCTCGAACTCGCTGGTGGGCGCGGCCAAAAAGCACGCTGTCTCACCTGGCATCGTGCCCGACAGAGATAGTATCAGTGATGAGCATATCGACACTAGTATTCACGCACGTCTTGTTCGTAGGGCATTCAGAACCGTTTGAACAAAAACGAAGTTACACGAACACGATGCAACATCTATACTAATATAATAAAGCAGAAAATATAGATGTTTACTTCGTCTAAAAAAAAGTCCGCGATACCATATCTCTATTTTTTATATATAAGCCACAATTAGACATTTTGATTTTGACAAAAAAAATGAAAATTTAATTATTAGGCATGGCATATTTATCCTTACGAACGAAAGTTACTTCATTATCAAGACAATTTTTTGAAGATAAAGTTCGTTCTATGTTTATATAGTACATAGTTTAAGAGATAATGTAAAATTAAAATAATTCAATACTTGGCCTTGACGCGCAAACAACGCATAACCCCTAGCCCGGTGCGAACTGAGAAGCCAGTATTGAAAGCTTCTATGAGCGAGGTTAGGTTAGCCGTTAGTTCAATCATTATCTAATATCTACACAATTAAATAAAATTGAAGTGTCTGTTTGTAATGTCAAAATAACAGCTTTTTACTAATTGCATATGAAATTATATACGCTACTTATAACATTAACACAATTTTTAACATTTTTCAGTCTGTTTGTTCCGGTTAATTTCCAAAACGGCTGGACCGATTTTGACGGGACTTTCACTAGTAGATAGCTCATCTTATAAGAAGTAACTTAGACTGCTTAAATTTTAGAAAAATTATTAGGTGTCCGTGCAAATAAATTAACACACTAAACTAAATGCGGAGGAAGTCGCGGGGAACAGCTGGTAGCTCAAATAAATTCAAAATTAACTGAGTGCTTTTATCTATCTCCCAAGTGAGCGTAACAATGATTAGTTACATCTTTATTTCTGAACTCTTTCATTTCACGTTGCTATGGTATTTTGAAAGTTTAATTGATTAATAAGTATAAGAGGTTGATAGCAAATTTATCAAGAATCATTTTTTGCCTACACACTTTCATATATCGTGTACGTTTTTCTTTAAAACTGGATAAAACCGCGCATAGTATGCCGACAGATAAAATAAAAGTACTCCATTAATCATGACAATTTTTCCATACATTATTATCAAATAAAATATTTGATTGCAATTATAAAATGCTTGAACTAGGTGTCATGTCATGCCACGCATCTCGGACACGTGATGACGCGGGTGAAACCGCGAAATTATTAGGCGCTGCTTTATCGCTTCATATTATACCTCTGTGGCTCTATATACCTAATATAGATTGCTTACTTTATTATGTTTAGTTTTTCCCGAGTGGTCATGCAGCGATCACTCAAGAGTTCGGCTTCGAACGTGTGTAACTGCAAAAATTATCCAACGGGAACGAAATACCTGAATAAACGGTATCATATATGTTATTTACAGCTCCGTGGCGCAGTTGCTTAGCAATGAATTGTTGCACTGGGAGCCGCGGGTTCGAATCCCGCACGGAACAAGTATTTGTATGGCCTGCAAATAGTTGTTCCGGGTCTGGATGTTTGTAAACTGCCTCCACGATACAGGAGAAAATCATAGTGTGGGGATAACGTTTTTTTAAAAAATAAAATTCCATACTATAACCTATCTCTGAGCAAAATATCATCCAGGTCCCTTCAGCGGTTCTGGTGTGATTGAGTAACATACATCCATTCATCCGTCCATCCAAATATCCAAACTTTCGCATTTATAATATTTAGATAATAATTGTAATTAGTTCTGCCTACCTATGAATTGTTTTCAAAAATACTTACCTGTATTCTTACTTTTTTATATATACTCAATATCACTAAACGTAAACACAGGTTTCTATCAAGACAAGTGACCCATCAAGATTGTTTTCTTAGTACTGACGTACCTACCTAAAGTTTACAATTTTGTGGCCACGACGCGGTGACGTTTTGTGACATTTTGTTGTATTGTAGGTTGTAGGTATCTAGGTAATAACAGTAGGTACCTATGAAAATCCCACATAATATACCTTGTTTGTCCGCCGCAAGAGTCGTCTAATAAATAATTAAACTGTTTTGTAATTCTTTATTTATTTATAACACTTGCATTGAGAGCCGTGGTAGCTCAGATGGTTAGCGCTCGCCGTAAGTATCACATTACGCGAGCAACCCGGGTTCGATCCCCGTCAGCACCAATGAAATTGTTGCAATTTTATATAGTAATCGTATATAGACTTTACTTTTTTTACTTTTATAATTATATTATATTACAGACGAAAATTTTACAATATTGTCTGTCGTCCAAAACGCATCATCTCTTTCAATTATATCAATTTCCATGCTGTCTTTTGTCTTTGGCGTCCAAATTACAAAATAGCAAAACTTTTCGTTTCGAATAAAACTCGAATAAGCGCGCGTCACCGCCCGTGCATGTGTGTGTAAGAGTCGTCCTCCCGCACCGCACCGGGGGAAACATTATTCAGTGAGATGCACGATAATTCATAGTAACATACGCGCGTAAAAAAATACGAAAAGGCCTTTGGAAGAAGGGGTTTTATGAAAAAACCACTGCATAAATCAATTACGAATAAAATTTATTGAATTCTTCGATAATTGAGCTGTGTCGGTACCGACTTTATTTTGGAAATTTTACACTTCTTTTATTACTAATTTACGCCCAAAGTTGTGTTAAAATTAGCAATAAAAACGAATCTTTGGTAGCCCGTAACTTTTTAATAACATTTTATTTTACTATTCTGTTTCCGTACAGACAAATTTAATAATGAGACAAAACGATATCATGTTTAACTTTGGATGTACACTGTCAAACAGCGTAGTAAAACCCCTCCGAAATTTGTATGGAAATATTGTCGACTAGTGTCACCTTAATACTGGATTTCATACTGGATTTAATACTGGATTTAATACTGGATTTATTACCCTTTAAACAGGATCACGCACTAGATGGACTGTAGCTTAAATAATGCATGTATAACGTATTATTTAAGCTACAGCATAATTATGTTCGTAACGGCGAGCTCCTTCAAGTAACATGGTATGGCAAAACCTGTTGATTGGTACAGATCTGTATTCCATTTTTGCATTTTTATAGCATATCAAATTTACAACGACAAAAAAAATTGCAAAAAAAATGTTTGGAGCATCAAAAAATTCTTCTCACGTTTTTAAACAGCTCCTTAAAGTTTTGAGGAGTACTTAAGGAGACTACAATCTATACCTGTGACCGTTCCTCTATTAGTTTTAGTATATAAAACTTTTTAACAACAAATTCTGTAATAAGAAAGATTTAAACCTTGAAGTAGACATATTACTTCACCTCAAACACAACGTCTAGAACATAATTATGTATCAATAGCGTAAGGTAATATATATATATATATAGTACACTATTGTTTTAAACTGAATTTATTATCAAAAAGAATAAAATAAAAATAAATCTTATTTATTTTCTTTCTTTTTTCTTATTTCGCGCTGAAAATTTCATAGTACACGGGCAATGAATTCATTAATTGAAATTATTAGTGCTGATTTACCACGTACTCGCTTACCACGACTGAGTAATCAAAATACATTTCGTGGACTTGTGATAAATTACCAGGTCTGTCAACGTTCATGGGGACAGTGCAGGCGAGGCGTAAAACTCTTTTAGGGATGAGTAGAGGCTATTGCTGTTCAATGGGACGTATTTAGCTGTTATTTTATTTTACAGCATAAAACCAATCATTCTAGCAATTTATTTTGAGAAACAGTACTTACGAGTTTGGCACAGAAGCCCAGTGTAACCAGGTAGGCATTTGCACTCGAGCGGCTTGTCACAGTAGCCGTGTTGGCAGCCAGGCAGGGGCTGGCAGGATCGGCACGTGGGCCCAGCCCAGCCGAGACGGCAACGGCATTCACCTGGTCCCTCGCAGTACCCTCGAGTCGCGTGGCAGTCCGAGCGGCAGATTGCTACAAAGAAAGACGTTTGCTTATATATACCATTTTTTCCGTATCTCTCATAGCAGCGATATTTTCGATAGCTACCACGCTTGGCATACAGGTTAGCATCCACAGATTTTTTATGAAGTTATTTTCTAAAGGATGCTGTCCCTCATCTTCCATAATTACCTAAAGGTTGTCGATGGGTGCAATTTTTTTAATATACAAATAGAAGTGTTCGCGACAGTAGTCGAATGGCGGATTCAAATCCACTTCTTTTTCAGCTTTATGTAGCTACCTACTACTGTAGGTACTTCTGCTAGTGTATCTTCATTCAGATATGGATGGCGATAATCTTAAAAATGGCTTTGAATAAATACTATAATATAATAAATATAAAAGTATTTATGGAAGAGTTATTTATTGAGTAAAATCTTAAAATAATTCGGAAATACCAGAAGTGCACACCTCAAGAGCGTTTCATTTAGTTTTGGTGAAAAAATATTACATAATATATACATAATAGATTACACATACATAATTACACAAAGTATAAAATCGATTCCGGCTGTATAGTACATTTGTCCTTCGTATATCAAAGGCTAAAGAAAAAAATGAAAGTGCCTTTAAATTTTTAATAGCAATAAAACTTATAAAACTTGAAAATCATTTTATTAACAAACGACGCGTACTAGGCTATACTATTACATACTAGGTATGAAATAGGGCACCAGTTGATGTAATTCTGAAGCTAATAAAAAAAACCACGGTCTCGATACGTCAATTTTTTCGGGAGTTATCGTAACGACATACAAAATCAACATCCGGACGTCCACGTAAAAAAAATTCAAACCTTTTTTATCAACGTAGTAATATAAAATGATTTTTTAGAAAATATAAGATGGAGTGTTTTCTTGATATACGGCTACTCATATTATCGTATAAGTGCAATATGGTTATGATAGAGGTATTTTAAAACCACAAAATTGCTTGAAATTGACGTGTCGAGAGTAATACACTACCTAATAACGGTTTGCGTTATGAGGCGTGCAAAATACAGTCTCAAGTAAGAATTAGAAATTCGAGCATTATTTATTTGATTAACACGTTTAAACTTACGCTCTGAACAGAAAATGCCATCCCATCCGGGGCGGCACTGACACTCAAAGGACACGTTACAATATCCATGCTGGCATCCCGGCAAGGGAATACATTTGTTGCAGCGTTCACCGTAGAAACCTAATTTACAGCGGCATTCACCCGGTCGGTTACAATATCCTGCAAAAGAAAACAATTACTACATTATAACAATATAATGTGAGAACTGATACCCCGTTATATTAAAAACGAGGACTATCTAATCCCCAGGGTACGCAACGGACCTGTATATTTTTTTTAATCGACGATGATGGATACCATCTCATACTTGCATATAAATAATCATTCATTAGTCCACAAATAATCTAGTTCTGTATGTGAGATACTTCTTCTTTATCGATCCATAAAAGTCCACTGCAAGAGATTGACTTCTCCCGAAGTTTTGTCTTCTTTCAACGGTTAGAATGACTTGTTACTGCGATTTACGGGTATATTGCCATTCTATAGAGATAATAAGAAATTCTTATTGAAATTCTTATTTTTTACTTTTTCTACTCATTTGGAAAGAACCTCTGTTCTAAGATGAAGCAGCAAGAAACCCAGCGGGTTTTTTTTTTCTCAACGTAAAATGATACAATAAAACACAGGTTGTACAAATTACAAAAAATATTTAAGAAACAGCTTGGAAGCGGTGCCACTTCACAGTAGTTATTATCAACCATTTATTCAATTTGTTTTATAGGATAAGGGTGACAAACGAGCACACAGTCCACCTGATGGTAAGTGGTTACTGTGGGCCATAGACATCTACATCTATCCTCGATTACGAATTAAAATGCTAATGCGTTGTCACCCGTGAGGAGTAATATGGAATGCCTGCTTTCCAGTAAAAAGGGCGTCCTTTTCTCTACACTCACCATATGAAACACAGCAGCGTTAAGCTGCTACTTTACTTTTCTGTGAGAGCGTGTTCTTTCCCCGGTCGAGCCGACCCATTCGTGCTACAACTATACTACTAATATAGCTCCAGCATGGCTCTACCACGTAAAAATATATAAAACGTTATAACTCGTACCCGTTATAGCGGTATAAATGTAAAACGTTATATCCCGTTTTATAGTTTTTGTGTGGTGAAGTATTATATTTTGACTTAATATATATATTTTGGACTTCGTTGTAATAGGGTACACATCGCCCTATCAATGAATTACTGACTCTGCCGAGTATATTCTAATTATGCCTAAGTGATTCAAGATTTTAAATAGCTCTTTTGACCCTATTTTGCAAAACATAATTAGTTTCTAAATCGACCGCATTTCCCCATAGGAAAATCCCATAAGACATTACCGCCACTTACCATCAGGTAAAGTGTAAGTTCCTTTTCATTATTATTTTTTGTCATTGTTTCTTTAAAAAACGTTATATTCACACTAGGATTTTCTCATGTATCGCGGGGGCAGTTAACATACATAGATTTTACAAGGACAAACATCCAGACCCTAAACAATTATTTATAGGCTATCCAAATACTTGTTCCGTGCGGGATTCGAACCCGCGGCCCTTAGCGCTGCAACTCATTGCTAAGCCACTACGCCACGGAGCCGTCAATCGTTGTTTGTTGTTTCAATTTTATTACAATATAAAATACCTAACCACTTGGTATTCTGTAGGATAATTCCAGAAAGTATGCGCAGAACTTACATGAATCAATTCGTCCTTCCCCTTCTCACCCTTGGAGAACCAGATGCTCGGCGGGTGTTTACCCCTTTGTCGTGGTATTCCACCCATGGTAATTAAGCGATTTCCTTCTTCTTACATAATGCGTACTTAAGATAGAATAGGCTTTTGTTACGCTGACAAAGTACAATTTACTTTCAAGGTCTTCATCACCACTTTTTTTACTTTTATAAGCCAGGGTTTAACCACAATCCCACCTGGTGGTAAGTGGTGATGCAGCCTTAGATGGTAAATCGCACTGTCTTAGCATAACAAGAACCTATTCACTCCTGCCTTGAAGACGCCCAGATTGTATTCGGACGGAAAGATAGACGCCGGCAATTTATTCCACTCCCTTGCTGCACGAATAAAAAAGACGAAGCAAACCGTTTAGTTCTAATGCGTGGAATATCGACAACAAAGGGGTGAAGGCCCGCCGACCGCCTGGTTGTGCAATGGTGGAAAGGCGAGGGAGGAATTAAAGCGTGTAATTCCTGCGCACACTCGTGTTGTAATCAATCAATGGCTTACAATAAGTTAAAAAAGAGGGATTCAGACTTACCTTGCAAAGGATCGCATCCCTTCTTGCAAATGGGCACATCGCAAAGGTCACCCTGCCATCCGGGAAGACACTTCGGCTCCCCCTTGTCATCGCACACGTAGTGGCTGTGCTCGCTCTGCACCGCCGGCAGTTCGCACGCCTGACGAAGAGGCTTCTGAGATGAGAAGAGGTTTGTGACCGGTGCATCGAGTGCTCGAGGTTCAAAGCGGTGCAAAGCCAAGCGAATGTAGCATTGACAATTAAGTTGAGATCTTATATTTGACTCTACATCGTACGTATTATATTTGATCTGGTTCTAGGACTAAACGGTTAGCTCTTTATTTTATTTATATCTAAAGTATTTTTATATAAGTATATTTATCCTTATTGTTTATGTCGCCTATGGTGGGGTCAAAATATCCACCACTCTATATCATCCTGTGAGTGTCATATTAGGCGACAGAGGGTACTTAGCCAGGATATGGGTTTCGAAATCTTCCAGATAACAACTAAATGATAAAATAACCGGTCAATTGCGAGTCGAACTCGCGCACGAAGGGTTCCGTACCACCGTAATACACGTTTCTAGTAGGGGAGCCCCCTTTAATTTTTAATTTTTATTATTTGTTTTTATAGTGGCAACAGAAATACACAATCTGTGAAAATTTCAACTGTCTACCTATTACAGATCATGAGATACAGCCCTCTGACAGACAGACAGACGGACGGACGGATGGACAGCGGAGGCTTATTAAAATGGGACCCGTTGGTTACCTTTTGGATACGGACCCTAAAAACTGTGGTAAAATAAAGAACCTACAAGCGAAACGCGGTCTCTATGAAAAGTGGCATTTCATTTGGGAGGACTCCATCACGCAGAAAACTCATACTTTTGTGTTAAGTGGAAGATGCAGTCATCATGATTATATTCATACCTTCATACGAGTATGCTTTTAGAAGAGATTTTTTATGAGATGATGATCTACAAGTGCCGCAATTAATCGTAGTGTCCTAATTTTACAAAGTCGCGCTGCAATTGGGAAAGTCAATGGGGGCTAATAATATTCTGCTCACCAGATGTCGCTAGTTGACTATGAGGTAAAGTTTTTTGTTACACGATTTCATTTGATTGAGAAGTTAGTTTTAAATAAAAGTTCATCAATTTCCCTTCATTGATTTGCTCTTAAATTTTTTGCACGTCTACAACTGTACTTTTTAATTTTTCTACTTTTGTGAATATCTGTGGTTTGGTTTATTTATTTTTAGTCTAATTAATATGAAATATACATAATAGTTTCAGAAAGAAATATTAACATTTACACTTTTCGACCGAATTAACTTCTCCGCTACGAAATCTGTCAAATATTACACCTAATTTTTAAGAGGCTCCGCTCTGGGCGCAGAAAAAGTCGTGGGTGCTCTCGTTGGGAAAGAGTCCTAGATCCTATGAGTTATAATGCTGTTAAGGGCTAGGACGCTGTTAATTTTGCTAGAGCATTAAAACTATAATTTTTGTGTCTGTTTGAGTGGGTCCCTTTATGGTTTAGATTCACAATTGGACCCGTTAGGTGGCGCTGTTGTCGAGATCGAGAAATCATCCGTGCGGAGCCGGGCGGGTCGCTAGTATTAAAAACGTAAAATGATAAATCTATACAAATAAATAAAATTTAAGTGTCTGTTTGTAATGTCAAAATAATAGCTTTTTACTAAATGCATATGAAAGTATAAACGGTACTTATAACAAAAACACAATTTTTAAAATGTTTGTCTGTTTGTTCCGGCTAATCTCCGAAACGGCTGGACCGATTTCGACGGGACTTTCACTGACAGATAGCTGATGTTATAATGAGTAACTTAGGCTACTTATATTTCAGAAAGAGAATTAGGGTTCCACGCAACATAATTAAAACCCTAAATTACACGCGGGCGAAGTCGCGGGGAACAGCTAGTATTTAATAAAAGATTCCTATAATGAAGATGAGTAAAGAATGAAGCTACTAATAGCAACTTCTTTTCTTACTTTACTTTCTAATCAAGTTATTTATTACGCCTTAACACCCAAATCCTTGAAGATAAATATTGAAAAAATTGTGTTTAGAATATTATTTTGGTAAATATAAAGTCAATATAAACTAGTAGAATGACCCAGACAACAAATATTACAATTGCAAGAATGTCAGATAAATTGGATTCCTAACTAAAAATATTTTTATATATTTTTTAAGTACATATATATAGTGTTATAACAAAATGTAGCTAAAATGTTTCCATATGTACTTAGTTGGTAAGTCTAAATATTGAAATAAATAAATAAATTTTTGCTTTAAATTGTAAAACCGATCTATACGCTAATGAAATGCGATCATTGTTAGTTATCACTCAAATCATAGTGTTTGCAAGAAAAATGTGCAAGATGTGACCAAAGTTGAGAAAGGAACGTTTAAGTGGTTTGGATACGTAGAAATAATGAACAATCAAATAGTGACAAAGCACAGAAATCTAAATAATAAAGTATTTAGATTTCTATGTGACAAAGCAATTTAATGATGCTGAAGTGAGTGGCAGAATCGATGTAAGACGCCATAAATAGAATTTTATCGTCCAAATTGGCGACATAATGAAGACCCGTCATTAAAAAAATAAGATTATCCTTAACTGATGAGTATGTATACGCGTAATTATGAATGTGAAAGAAGCGAGAAAGAAGTGTCAAAATCGTCAAACGGAAGTCCATAGTCTCTGCCTATACCTCTGCGTTACAAATGTGTGATTTATGTTTCTGTATGTCTCTATCAATATTGTATACGCGAACGTTGTTAAAGACTAAATATTGTAAAAATGGTAAAACTAAATCTCAAAGAATATTTATAAGAAAACACAGTTACATTTAATTATTCGAGATGCCGGAGAACCAGCTGGGCGTAACGGAACATGCCTGACCTAGCTCAAGCCAGATCGGGACAACTTGCTTTCAAGCGACCCTTGCTTACAAAGTGATAGAACCTTGCTCCACTAATGATATACTCGTAATGATCAACGGTTTACGGCTAAGGTACTTATAAATAAACTAGCGAATAGAACGAGACTAAACAGATAAATTGACGTAGGTTTAGTATTCAGAATACGTACGTATATACGTACAATGTGTGTTTAATAATATTGTAAGGAAATAAACCAGGAGTTGGGCAGCAGCATCTTCCTAATAACAACTAAAAATAAAAACTGCAGTTGCAAAGCCACTTGCCAAGCGTGGCAACTATAGCAAATATCCCCCCGTGAGGCAATCTATGCAATATATATATAACGGTAACGGTAAAGTGTATAATAATATATCACCGAAAAGTTAGGCGTTTGGCGGCGGGTTAAGAGAATCCATTACTCAATTACGGTATAGTAAAAGGCGACAGTGGAAAATTCCAGAAAGGCGGCGAAAGACGACAATGGGAAGCCCTTAGATTTGTTATCTATACATATAATAAAACTGTAAATAGCAGATGTCTGTACATTTTATATTTTTGTAATAAAAGTGGTTGAGGGGTACTAAAAATAAGTAATTAAATACATTTCTACCATTTTTAGAATTTTCTGTCTGTCTGTCTGTCTGTCTGTCTGTCTGTTTGTTTGTTAACGTATCACGTTTAAAGTACTAATTTATATCATAAGAATTGTTAAGGAAATTCTAAAGTGTACCTTCGGGTTACATTTAGTCTTTATTTCATTAAAATCGGTTCATTCCATCAAAAGTTATGATAAATATTCTGAAGTATGGGTAGGGAATTTGCTCAACGGTGGCTTTGTTTGAGTCATCAAGTTGATGTTAGCAGCGCCATCTCTCTTTAATTAAATATATACATATAACAAAAATGATGATAACATGTTGTGTCTCTTTCTGTACATTGTATATATATTTTGGTGACTAAAATCATTATGGGGAACTAAAAATAATTAAATAAGTACATTTTTATAATTTTTAGAATTGTCTGTCTGTCTGTTTGTCTGTTTTTATATGAATGCATCACGTCTAAAGTAAACATCTTTTTTTTTTTCAAAGAAATCGTTAAGAAAATCATAAAGCGTATCTTCAAGTTACATTTAATCTTTGTTTTATTAAAATTGGTTAATTCTATCGAAAGTAATGATTATTATTTTGAAATGTAGGTTCGAATTTGTTTAATGACGCCACAAAATCCCAGAAATAGTAATAAAAAGATTCGTGTGTAAAAAAAAAACGTTCTATTATAATATATTTCGTATCGTTCTATTATAGTACTTAAAACACAGTAAATATATGTTTTCATTAAATTAAAAAAGGATGTTTTCTCACAAAGAACGTAATAGATGGCGTTGTACAAATTACAACCTTTTCTGAATTGCGGTGTTAAGATTTTTCGCAGGTGAATCGTATTGAGACTCACTGTACTAATTTATGTCCATGAGTCTGACGAAGTTGCAAGCCTGCAAGGTATATATACAGAGGTACTGAAATATGTATTTATTCAACAAAACTCGAAAACCCGACTAAAAGTAGCAAAATTGCAATAAATGTCGTGATAGTGATATTGTTTTATACACAGAATCCCTCTAATACCAAATAACTTTTTTTTTCAGTTTTAAGTAAAGTAAAGTTGCAGCCTATTTACGTCCCACTGCTGGACACAGGCCTCCTCTCATTTCTGAGAGGGTTTTAGGGCAAGGAAATGTCCACCGCGCTGCCCCAATACGCGTTGGCGAACTTCACATGTCATCGAAATATTTTTTTTATTTCTCAAACATGCAGGTTTCCTCACGATGTTTTCCTTCACCGCCGAGCACGTGGTAAATCAGCACTTAAAATTGCAATTAACAATTTCATTGGTGCCGGCGGTGATCGAACCCGGGTTGCTCGAGTACTGTGAAGCTTACAGCGAGCGCTAACCATCCCTATCTTAAAACTGAAGCCTGAGCCACGGCTCAGGCTTCAGTTTTAAGATAGGGATAATAACATCGATGTTGGCATCGCTAGCTCAACATCGATGTTCGATGTTTAGGCTACTCAAAACATCGATGTTGACCATTATCGATGGTTTTTGTATATGTGTAGATACTTACACATTGTTTTAAAATTATGTGGGTTGAATAATAATTTATGTAGAATAGTTATTATGCGACAACCGACAACGA